GGAGAGGGAGAGGGAGAGGGAGAGGGAGAGGGAGAGAGAGAGAGAGAGAGAGAGAGAGAGAGAGAGAGAGAGAGAGAGAGAAAGCGAGCCAACAACACACAGCAAAGGAAACGAAGACGAGAGAGCGGTAGAAGATGATGCTCAGGAACACTTGTCTTTCCTTAAATGAAAACTAAAGCTTCACTAGCACAAGAACTATTCCGATAGTGTATTATTAATAACTACATTAGTTAATAGTACCATATTAAAATAATACCATGTAATAGATGACATTGGTATAATTCTTATGTAACAGGTTTGTTTTGTTATTATACTATAACCCATGATATTTATAGTACACAATGTCGTATGTTATCATATGACAGTTTTAATACTTTTGTCATCATTATGAAATATCAGCATATTATAATAACACAGGGCCCATTTTAGTTCATTTAGTCCTAAGAATTATAAATGCTTCAACCAGCAAGTCTGAGTCATAAAGCAAAGGAGTCCAGGAAAGACTCTCACAGCATCTTGCTTCTGACAAAGACATCGGCTGGTTGGAAAGAAGTTTCCTCTCCAAGTTCAAAGGTGGCTAGAAGATTCCCTTCCGTTTTTAATACGTCAGTTCCCAATACATACAAAAGGAAATAAGCTCAACACTAAAATAACGGAGATGACAGTCTCGTGTTTAAAGGGCAAGCATGCAGTACAGCTTGTTTTTAAGTTGTGTTTATGCATCTTTCCAGATGAGGATGAGTGTGCAGAGGGGAAACACGACTGTACTGAAAAGCAAATGGAGTGCAAGAACCTCATCGGTACCTACATGTGCATCTGCGGCCCTGGGTACCAGCGCAGACCCGATGGAGAGGGCTGCGTAGGTAAGCCTGTCTCTTGTACACAACGCTCAGCATTGAAGTGCCAGAGGGCAGAAGTGATCTGAGCTCTGAGTCGGGCTGGTGATGTGCTCCTTCCTCTTAATCATATGTCACAGCTCACAGTGGAGAGGCCTTATTTTTCTCTCCTCTGCACTGGGGTTTCCCTGTTCTCTTGGCCTGTATTGCTGCCAGGGTCACCCACCTTTGACCCTTGCCCTTTGTTCATGTAGCCATCCAGGAGGTAGTTCTTCACACTGATTTCCCTCACCATTCTGTCAACTGGGTTATCTTACTAATGTCCTATGGTAGGACTATTTCTAAGCCAGGGCTCTAACTTCAAAAAAAACCCCATTTACCTTGAGGTAGATCCAAGCACTGGTATTTTGAATGTCCCTAGATGATGCTAATGTGTATCAAATATTGAGAACCACAACCCTAGACCAGGGAATGGCAAACTTCAGCTTCCAACCAAATTCAACCCTCTAGCCTGCCACTTCTTTTATGAATAAAGTTTTATTAAAACACCTCAGGCTCCCAGGCAGCTGGAGTTCCTGGTCTGGAGCATCAGTGAGTAGTGGGATTTTTAACCAGTCCTCACATAGCTCTGGGTATTGTTTCCCCATTCTCTGCTTCTCTCAGGAAGCTCTGTGTTCTAGAGACTCAAAGCTATTCTCAAATGAGAGAGACTCTGAGGAAATTAGTTCATGATATTCAGATCTAAACAATCACCAGATAATCCAAAAATAATCCAGCTATTTTAATGTTTTTAAAAACCTGTTAAATTATGGTTTATTATTTCTCAATAATATTGCTAAAGTGTTACAAACAAGCCATGTTGAATCTGAAGATCAGTCCAGACTAATGTTCCTGTGTCAATACAGCTTACTGGCATCAATCTGATGAAGTAATAGGTCTCTTTAAATGACAGGCAGCCTTCAGTCCTCCCCCCGACCGTGTGTGAACTCACTTTTCAGGAATTTTCTTTATGTACAGATGGGGCAAGATTTAAGTAAAAAATATATTGCTAAATTGCTGCCATTTGCATTTAGATATATCAAAATATTCTCAAGGGTGCCTTAGAAGAACAAAGAAAGAGAGTGGGAGGGAGAGAGGGATTACTTTTATTGTGTAATCCATCTTTGAAATGGGACATCAGAAACAGGCAGCCTCTAAGAGGGCTTTGGTGGCTGAAGAGTACGGATGAAAGGGAGACCTTGATTTTTTCTTCCTGGCCTTACCCGGATTTCCAGCTGTTAACCATGTGGATAGATTACTTGTTTGCAAAGTAAACTGAGAAAGTGAGTGAAGGAAGGAAAGAAGGAGGGAAGGAAGGAAAGAAGGAGGGAAGGAAGGGAGAAAGGGCTGGAGGGACAGAGGGAGGGAGCGATCAAGGGGGAAAGTCAACCTTCTATAAATGCCTCATGACTCCTGTTCGCTGTCTACACAGATGAGAATGAGTGTCAGACCAAGCCCGGGATCTGTGAGAATGGGCGTTGCCTCAATACTCGGGGGAGCTACACCTGTGAGTGTAACGATGGCTTCACGGCCAGCCCCACTCAGGATGAATGCTTGGGTGAGTATCTGAAGCTGGCTGCAACCTTCCCTCACACTCCAAAGCATTGTTTCTGGTTTGAAATAAGAGAAGATATCAAAAATTACAAAGGAGCTGAAAACATTCATCCCTGGGAGATGACTTAGTGACCAAGCATACCTTGGGTTCAGGACCTCCCTACAGTGAAATTCTTCCTTGCACATGGAATTGCTAGCTTGGGGGTTTCCTTCTTGCTGTCCTTTAAAGGCCTTTGTGACCAGGCCCACATCCGTATGTTTTTTGCCCCTTTTTCTATAGCATGGCTGTTGCGACTGTCCTTCCATATGTCTGGGCACAAAGAGTTATAAGCTTGTCTGCACCAGTGCCTTTCTGCCAACTCACAGATTTCTTGTCTTGTTTCCGTCAGACGCCTCCTTTCTCTCTCCCTGCTGCTTCCAGCTTTCGCTTCTCGCTCCTCTTCACCCAGGGTAAAGTGTTACATCCTTTTGGTTTTTATATCTGACCAATTTCCTAAGGCATTTGCACACAGAACAGTCCCTCAATTCCTCTTTGCCTCTAATGTCTCTTCCAGACAACCGGGAAGGGTACTGCTTTTCAGAGGTCCTGCAAAACATGTGTCAGATTGGCTCAAGCAACAGGAACCCAGTCACCAAGTCCGAGTGCTGCTGTGATGGAGGGAGAGGCTGGGGACCCCACTGTGAGATCTGCCCTTTCGAGGGCACAGTGGCTTACAAGAAGCTGTGTCCCCATGGCCGAGGATTCATGACCAACGGAGCAGGTACTTCATTTTATTCTATTGTTGACAAAAGGTAGGAGCTCTTTTTTCATTATTAGTTTTTCACTATTAGACAAAATTAGTTGCAAGGAGTGTATGTATTTCTCTGTGGAAAACAATGGAAATGTGGAACTGACAATTAACCAGGTGTCTTGGGTAGATGATGGGGCTAGGTTTACACAGTTTGCTAAACAGAGACACCCTTATTTGTGTCTCTATCACAGACAGAAGGCTTGGAGAGTGTACACTGGTGGCCAGTAAGGCTTGTGCTGTCTGCATGACGAGATGGACAGAAATCCTTCCTCACAGTGTTGTGAACATTCAAGGCCGTTTGCCAACGGTCCTTGATCTAGTTGATTATGTTTCATGGGCTTGCCTCTGCCTTCCGAGGGTCCAGCAGAACTCTGCTGGAAGGTTGTTTATAAATGAGCTGTGAAATAAACAATCATCTAGTTCCACTCCACCAATATTCATTTTAACTCAAAATTAGCCAAGACGTATTGTATCAAAGAAGTACAAAGACTGCTGCACAGTCGTGTCTGAGATGCGCGAGCTGCTTTCAGCTAGACATCTAGATGTGTATGGGAGTCAGCGAAGGTGTCTGAGGCAGCTGTGAAGACCTGCAAGTCTTGTGGGACTCCACGTTTATCAATACAGTTGGGGTTTAGTTCATAGAAGCTCTGAGAAAGAGGGTCCTGTTGGTGTTCCATTGTGCTCCTGTGGATGGGGGAATAGCAGAGGGAAGAGCTGGAGGGAGTTAGAAGCAAAAACATAAAGAAGAATTAGAAGAAAATTGTCTTCCTGTTGGGAAAATGTGAGTAATGACAGAATAAAGGCTGTGGGTAAATGAAGGAAATGAAGGAGATCTGCCCTCTGGGAGGATGTTGAAATGAGATAGTAGAAGAGTCATTTACTGAGACCAGCAAAAAAGTGCTTACCTGTACCTCAGAGTAAACTACAGAAGGTTAGCCATTCCCATCTGCTGAAATTAGAGTATTTGGCAGTGAAGGTCTAATAACTCAAGCAAATTACTTGTGTTGGTGCCTGGCCTTACTGGCCACCAGTGCAGAGTCTCCAAACCTCTCTGTCTGTGATGGAGACATGAATGAAGGTGTCTCTGTCTAGCAAACCTAGCCCCATCACCTACCCAAGACCTGGTTAATTTCCATACAAAAGAGGGAAGTCCATTCCATTCTTCCCTCCCCATATTAGGTAATTTGATGTTTTTCAGGATTAACTTCAAATAGGACAAAGAAAAACGTTAAAGAAGTTTTCTTTTTATTTTGAGCATGCAGCATCAGAAAGAAAACCTAGACTTTTCTTGTCCAAAGGGTCCTCTGCTATAATTTGCCCATTTCATGCCCATGGGAGGCAAGAGTGATGGCAAGATGGAGCAGAGGACCAAACAGGTCTCCATGAGATGTTGTTCTATGACTCCAGAAGAGAAAAATAACACAACTTTAGATGACCAATTATTTTAAGGCTTTCCCTTTGTTTGAACAGCTTCTCATTATCACCTCATACAGTCATTCACCAGCTGCTCAATGAGTAACCAACTGCATATGAAATCCTTTCTTGTCTCCTTTTTATTTAATCCTTTGGTCCTTAATATAGTAACATGGTATATAAAATTTTACTCGTGACTCATGTGTATATCTTAATTGCCCATTGTATATTTTAATGTATTTATTAATGTGATTTATATCTATCCTAGATATTGATGAGTGCAAGGTTATTCACGATGTTTGCCGAAATGGGGAGTGTGTCAATGACAGAGGGTCCTATCACTGCATCTGTAAAACTGGCTACACTCCAGATATAACAGGGACTGCCTGTGTAGGTAGGTACTTCATTTCTAATGCTTTATTCCCAAGTAGAAATTTGAGGTTATAGGAAAGAAAACCCCACACTAAAAATCTGCAATGCATGTCTACTTTTATGAAAATTATAAGACAATCATCACATACTTCACAGAGTTTATAGGTATAGATATGGAGCATTCAGAAGGTCTTTCAAATGGACTTCTACACTATCTTTCTTTGATCACAGATCTGAATGAGTGCAACCAGGCTCCCAAGCCCTGCAATTTTATATGCAAAAACACAGAAGGGAGTTACCAGTGTTCCTGCCCGAAGGGCTATATTCTGCAGGAGGATGGAAGGAGCTGCAAAGGTAAGCACTCATTGGCTTTATCCACTCACCTACCTCTGGTTATGCCTGGGAATAATCAGGAGACAAGCTGCAAGACCTGCTTCCCTGGACCTAGTGCCCGTGTAGAAGGTAGGTCCCTGAGGATTGCGCTGAGACCAGGGAGGCTGCTTAAAGGTAGGTGTAGCAACCAACCTTGCTTGATACACTATGAGCATCCATGGATGACATCCATGAAGGGCTCATTGGTACCAACTCTCCAAGGCTCTGATGAGGCTAATTCCCAGTTAATTCCCCATCCTTTTCCATTTATTTACTCTTTGTTCAACAACAATGTGGTCTAGGACATCTTCTAGAGATCTTAAAGATGTATCTGACTAATTAAACTAGTATTTCTATATCTATCTATCTATCTATCTATCTATCTATCCAGATTTTAAATTTGCAAAATAAAGCCACCATGCTTTCTAAGAACTTAACACAGGGAGTTGTGGAATTGAAACATTCAAACTCTGTGCAGAAATCTCTCCTCAACTAGAAATTACCTTTTGTAAAATTTGTTCAGTATATATTCATCTTACTAGGTAAAACCTTCAGAGGTTTTTCTATGCAGACCTGGTCCTAGGTCCTAGGTCATCCAGTAGCTAGGGAAGAAGTCCCTGATCCTAGCACCTGTCTAAAATGTGAGCTTCACCTGGGGTCAAGTGAGCTCTGGCAAGTGCAAGCACTTGGAGCAAGAGTTAATTCCTGTGAGCAAAGAAACATGTTCAGTGGGGACTATCTCTTCTGCCTGCAAGTTGTAAGGAGACAAATTTACATTTTTGTAATCTGTGGCAGTGGACCACTGCAGATACTCACCTCAGTGTGGGCAATGACTTCCCCAAAGATACACATCTGTAATCACCCACCCCCTCAGTGAACCTTGCCCACTCTCTGTAACTCTGGAATCAACATGCAGCTTGAGCAGAAGGAGACATATGAGGGAATGACTGGAGTCTCAGGTAAGGGCCTAGTGACCCTCTCCTGACCTCTGCTTGTATGAGGGAACATCGACAGGCCTGACTGTGAGGGATGCTTACAGGTAGCATCAGCTACTCTGATGAATGCAGTGACCAGGCTGTTAGGCTCAGAGTCTTTACTTCACATGCCCTTCTCTCTGCTTACTCTCATAAAGTCCAAGTCTGTCTATGCTTGATATGTGGAAGTGTGGGAATACATGTCCTACTCACTCTGAGATAAAAACAGATAGAAATGAGGCTCTGGGAGGGGTGTGGGACCAGTACCTTCCCCTCACTGGAGAAAGGGGGTTAGCAGAGAAGAGATCATGGTAAGATTCATGCAAGTATGGATATAACACAGTAAAACACACACTAATTTGTACAGTTTGTGTATGTTATTGATTATAATATAAAAGGAAAAGAGGGGGAGGAGATAGAAGAAGATATTCTTGAGGATAAGAACAGCAAGTTGCTGCTGAAAGGTTCCCATTAGTGGATTGGACAACTCTGAAGGACCACAATACTGTTTTCTCACCAGCTGCAGGTGAGAGAAGTCAGTTCTCAGCAGTAGAGAGCTCAAGAAAGGCTCCATCTGAGGATGGGCACAGGGAGGTCCTCTGGGGTTAGAACAGGTGTCCTCCCAGGCAGGAAGGCCGCTGGGGAGCAGAGGCAGCCGCTAGCAAATCTCACAGCACTTGTGTCTCTGTACAGGGCCTGAGTTTGTGATAAAGCACTCTTGAACTCCCAGGCATTTAAAAGCCATCCCTCTAGTTCAACATAGTTGGTAGCTCTTAGTATATCTTTAAATGTAAACATCCGTGTTTTCCGATGGTCTGGAGACCCCTGTGAAAGGGTTCTCAACCCGCAGGGCTAGACCAACTGAATTAAGGGAACAAATAGATTTCCAGCCTTGACATCTCTTTCGATATCTTCACTTAGATCTTCTCACTGCTATGGAAAATGTTCAGAAAGAGTTTTTACTTCATGTTATAGTTTGTTTAAGCATTTAGAATATCTTTCAAATAAATTTGTTGACAAATCCCTACATTTCTTTAGCTAAAGGGAACTGCTAGACCTTGGATCCCACAGATCCCCTTTCTTCTTCCTTTCTCAGCCCACCACCTGACTTCTTACCAGCCCCTTCCTGTGGCTCTGTGCTGCTCCGGCGCCCTTGGAGGCCTAGAGATGCTTCCTACCAGAGCCTGTTGGGCACAGCTTGAATTCCGTTTTGCACTTTCTTGCAGATCTTGATGAGTGTGCAACCAAGCAGCATAACTGTCAGTTCCTGTGTGTTAACACCATCGGTGGCTTCACATGCAAATGCCCTCCTGGGTTTACCCAGCACCACACTGCCTGCATTGGTAAGTAGAAGGGAAAGCCGTGTATGGTACACAGATGTTCCGGTAAGAGACTCTTTTCTAATCCCTTTGCCGTTAGATAAACAGTACATCATGTTCAGCATGCATTGGCGTTGGACCATGCACACACAATAGGATGTCATTGACCCTACTTTTGGACTTCTCTGGGCCAACCTTCTCCCTTCCTTTCAAACAATACAGGGCAGCTTTGTGGGTGCATCACTCTCCTCTTTTCTCCCACTGCTTCTCCCAGATAACAATGAGTGCACATCTGATATCAACCTGTGTGGGTCCAAGGGAGTTTGCCAGAACACTCCAGGGAGCTTCACCTGTGAATGCCAGAGGGGCTTCTCACTGGATCAGAGTGGTGCCAGCTGTGAAGGTAGGTACAGACCTCAGCTGTATCCAGCTAAAAGCTCCTTGTAGAGATGGTGCCATCAACTTGTAGAGATGTGGCTGACAACTTCCAGGAGTTACAGGAACTAATATCTCTTCTGAGTGGGCATAGATCTGTAATCCAAGCACATGAAAGGCAGAGGCAGGAGGATTGCCACAAGTTAAGGGTCAGCCAAAAAAAAAAAAAAAGCAAACAAAGAGGCAAAAATGAAGGAAGAGAAAGACATCTTCTAAGCAAGTAAACCATCCAACTAAAGTCCAGGCTGTTTGCATGGGCCCTGTGTTTCAGAAATGTACTTGCTTGTACCAACAACACATGCCTCTTCTAGGATGATCAAGGTTGTTTTGTTTAGGTTAACAATTTAACTTAGTAGGAATACCTCAGGAAAAGTACCTCAATGTCTGACATTTGAGGCCAGAGCCCTTAGATTTCTCCAACATGAACAATACATGTAGGAAATAACTCCTCCACAAACGTATAATTCACATTTAAATTTTAATTCTTATGATTTTATTTTCTTATTGATATTCCTTGGTTTCTAATTCCAGTCTGAATAAACATGGATAGTTTCCAGAGCTATCCCACAGCACTCTGTGACTTACAACATTTTTATCTGTAGACTTTCTGGGGGAATCTCTGAATATGTGCGTAGATATTCTTGATGTTTTGATAGAATATATTTTTAGGAGAAAGATTTGTTTCTAGAATTGCCTTTGAGCTTCACAGGCAGATGGATTGAAGCGAGAGCCCGAGAGCTGCTGGTGGGACTCACAGGAGCCTCTGCTTCTTTTACAGATGTGGATGAGTGTGAGGGTAACCACCGCTGTCAACATGGCTGTCAGAACATCATTGGAGGCTACAGGTGTAGTTGCCCCCAGGGCTACCTCCAGCACTACCAATGGAACCAGTGTGTAGGCAAGTAGCTCCTTGGCCTTAAAAGAAGCCTGGTTGCTGGCCCCTCACAGAGTCTGAACTTCCTCTGAAGTAAACTTTCTGAGCCCCTAAAAGTTTCTCTATCCCACTTGAAACCAAAGTGAAGTGACAATCTTTAAAGGTAACAGCGTATGATGGAGTGAGTGGCCTTTGGAAGTAGTGGAGATGAGATGCTCTTAGACTTCCTCGACACCATCTGTCTTCCTCTTCCACTGTACTCTTAGACATCAGCCCACACTGGGGATCTCTCTATGATATCTAGTTCCTTGAAGATTTACTTTGGTTCCAGGAGGATCATGGCCAGATCAGAATAAGTCAATAAGGTTCAGGGTTCCTGTTGCTCCAAAATCCCAAACAGGGCTCAGAAGGTTCAAGAAATAAAGCTATCTAGAATGAGCACTGCCACAGACTGAAACGGTTCCTCCAGTGTGGTGGTCTACAGAGCAGAGCTCTTGGACCTACCCCACCTGTGTGCCCACTCTTAGCTTCTCAGAAGGTCACTCTTCCTGGTTAGATGTTAGGGGCCATTGACACCATTCCTTTCTAGACTCCAATAGCAGATTTCAACTTTAAGTTGGAGTGGAACTGAAAAATTTGGCCCTTCTAAAAATAATCAAAGATGGTATCTATAGCATACTTCATTCCTTATTTAAAACAGAGAAAAGAATGTAGACAACATTATCTTTGATTTTTCTATTTTAGGATCCCTGTAACCTAAGGAACCTTGGATGGGGACATGAGGTCTTTGGATTTAGAGAATCTTCAAATAGGCAAAGTAAAGTCAGGCTAATGACTGGATGGAAGGGGCGGGGAGATGAGGATATATATTTACAAATAATAGTAGACACACAAACACACACACACATGATATTAAGTATTTGAATTTATCAGCAAAACCCTAGGCCTTCCACTTTTCCCACCTATTTACTAACTGCAAATACATGACATTAATATAGAATGGAGATTGTCTGGGAAAGAAATGGCATGAAGGCAGAGAGGGGGGAGAGCATAGGATGAGGAGTATGGTCAAAGTACACAGTGTACTTGGATGACAATGTCTTTATTAGACTCATCACTGTGAACAATGAGTATACATCAATCTAAATAAGTACTGGAGGGCTGGTGAGTCAGCTCGGTACATAGAAGCAGTTGCTGCTCAACACGCGAGCCCTGAAAAACCTCCTAGTGCTCATGCTATGGTAGGAAGGTTTAAATGAGTGCAAAACACAATACCCGCCCTGTGCTACTGCCTGAAATGAATGCATGGAATCTCTCCCAGCCACATAGGCTTTAGCCATGGCTCAGCTACTGGAGCCACAGCTGGTTTGGATAGGCACTCAGAGAGAAAGCAGACATCCAGGAGGTGTGACTTAGCCTAAGACTGGGTACCTGCAGGCCCTTGCAGGGTTTTGGAAAGAAAGTACAAATGGTGTGGATATTCAAGGCCCAAGAGGAGCTTCTAGAGAAGTGGTCTCTGCTTCAGGGACACCCATTCTGAGGGCACTTGTGATCAAGAACACAGTTAACTGTATGGTCTCTTCCCACTTCCTCTGAACTCCACATTATAACTGTGCTCGGGCCTCACATGGGGCAAAACATACTAGCACTGCTTTCAGTGAGAACTGGAGTCTGAGGCTCCTCTTAGTGCCATCCTGGGTATTTTCCTAGGAGCATCTAACCTCTTCTACCATATTTAGTCAGCATGGCAAGGGGCTACCTGTCCCCCACCCCCTCCTGTACTCTCCAAACTGGCCACACTGCCTGCTTTCTTTTCTGAGAGCCTACTTACCTACCTCTAGGCCATCTGGTCAGTCATAAGGAACATGACCTAGAATTCTATGGCAAGTATCACACATGTAATGTTGTCTTGTTTTCTCTGCAGATGAAAACGAGTGCCTGAGTGCACATGTCTGTGGAGGAGCCTCCTGCCACAATACCCTGGGGAGTTACAAGTGCATGTGTCCCACCGGCTTCCAGTACGAACAGTTCAGCGGAGGCTGCCAAGACATCAATGAGTGTGGCTCATCTCAGGCCCCCTGCAGTTATGGTTGCTCTAATACTGAGGGTGGCTACCTGTGTGGCTGTCCTCCAGGATACTTCCGGATAGGCCAAGGGTAAGTATTATATTATTCCTCCTATCCTCAGTTAATAAATCTTTAAATATTCATCTGTACATCATACACACAGACACACACACACAGACACACACAGACACATAGACACACAGACACACACACATATGTATAATCCCAGCACCACTCGGGAGGCAGAGGCAGGCAGATAATTATAGACAGAGAACTTCACTTCCTACAATCCCCAGGTTCATTCCGTTCAGCTTTGAAAAGGTTTGAGAGGAGCATCTGTTAAGGGGTATCCAGATTTCTAGAAACTCATAGAACACCCAACAACATAATGCAGCCACACGGTTCATATCTCACTGTACAGCTTCTGTCTCATGATCTTCAAATCTTGCTGAGAAGTAATTGGTTTCTCCAAGAATGCTCCTCTGGATCAGCCCAAACAGAGCTGGGTGCACCCTTCACAGCAGATCCACATCCCACAGGAGCTTGCTGGGCTCTCTCTTGACTCACAATGCTTTCTTTTCTAGTTCCCATCAGGTCATGGATAACTTTTGCTGGCTGTTTCTTACTATTTTTAGGCATCTTTTGTCTTTCACTCTTGAATTTACATTGGAAATGATTTTTAAAAAGCACATTAAATATGGGTTGCAATAATTAACTCTATTTTCCAAGCAGAAAATTTTATGGATGATGTGAATATGAATATGTTTATGACAGTTGGGGCAGAGAAGGAACACTGTTTTTATCCATGGCCTAAAATTTTAGTAAGTTTTTAAAGTTGAGTTCTTCCCTAATGACTTGAGTGTATATCTAGTTTATGAATCTTTGTCTGTTCTTGTTTTTGTTTTTGAGACAGGGTTTCTCTGTGAACAGAGCCCAGGCTGTCCTGGACTCACTTTGTAGACCAGACTGGCCTTGAATTTACACAGATCTGCCTACATCTACCTCTCAAGTGCTGGGATTAAAGGCATATGCCACCACGCCCAGCCCAGTTCATGAATCTTAGTTTATTAATTAGAACTCTTTCTCCGTTAATTAGAACTCTATCTTTCTCTATCTGTTTCTCTCTTTCCCCACCCATCACACATACAGACACACACACACACACACACACACACACACACACACACAAAATCACATATACGCTTATCCCAAGAACTCAGTGGTCCTGGAGTCTGTGACACCACACTGGCTTTCAGGGACTTATTCCAGTCTGTATAAACTTCAAGGTAGAAGAATTCTTTGTGGGAAGCTCTCAGATGCCAGCAGGAGGACCCACATTCCCAGATGTCTGTCTGGCTCTCAATTGACTCAGTATTTTTTTTTACAGTTTAATGCCAGAACCATTTTTTCCCAGAAAAAAAAAAATTGTGACACTCCAAACTGGCTTCTTGCCAGTGGGATTTTGTAGCCACATTTCTTATAAGTGGTGCTCCTGGGACAAGAAAATACTGGACAAAAATTCTGAGAAAGG